CTGTCCTCGCCCAGGCGAATCGCTGGCGCGCTCGCCACCCATCCCTTTCCCCTCCTCTCCGATGGGATCAGACACGTTCTGGAGAGAGGGAAGAAAGGAAAGGAAGAAAAAAAAAAAAAAAAGACATCAAGAAGAAAACAAAATGTGACTCACTGCCTTCTTAATTTATTTGTATTTATTTATTCCCCCCCGCCCTGCGCTGCGACGTGCAGCAGGCAACACCAAGGGCTGGCCACGATCTACCGGAGAGCCTCGGCACGGCTGGTGGCCGGCTTGGCAAAGGGGTGTCTTTTGGCCAAGGAAAAGAGCATGGAGAGGAGCTCCTGGCACAGAAATTGTGTGGTACAGATTTTGAAGGCTGTCCAGGTCTCCGTGCGAGCAGCCCACCAGCATCCCCTGCCCCACCAGCGCTCGGCACCGCACAGCATGGACCAGAGGGTGGAAATATCTAATTCCACCTCCTACACCGTGTCCTCGGCGGGGGAAAGAGAGAAAGAGAAGATAAAAGGCTGGGAAGCTCAAATGGTGTCATTAGGAACTATTAATGCTCTCATAAAAGGGCATTAATAAACACGGCGCCTCATCAGCGCCCATTAGCTCCGCTCGTGGCAGGGATCTTCGGGGGCCGCTGGCGTGCGATGCTGGCATTTCAGCAAAGGGGCAAGAGGCTGCAGGGGGGGGATTATTCCTCCCTGCAAGCCATTTTCCCCCCCCTGCACACTTCAAAACCCCGCTTCCCAGCTGCAGGTGCCCCTCGCTCCGGGGAGGCAGCGGGACCCCGGGAAGGAAAGCTCGCAGGAGCAAGCAGAGCTTCGCACCCAGCCCCTCCGGCAGCCCGTGCCCATTGCAAGCAGAGTCCTTTGCTTTCAGAATAGCTGTTTACTATTTAAAAAAAAAAAAAAGGCAGGGTTTACAGTGCTCATCCCTACTTTCTCCCTCCCGCCCTCTTCCTGTTCTCTTAAAAGGAGCTTTATCCTTTGACTCTCCCATCCCCGGGGCTAGCCAGAACCCACTGCATCTCGGGGCGAGCAGGCAACCCACATCAGCAGGCAGGAAAACAGGGAGGAGGCCCGGCCTCTCCCGATAAGCCCATGGCAAAGCCAGGAATAGCAGCGAGGTCCCCGCACAGGAGCAACCCTACCCGGAACAGAAAAAAGCCTCAGTCCCTGCCTTTGAAGAGCTGGGGTTGGCAGCCGGCCCGGCCGTGCGGCGAGCTTGGGCTTTGCTGCAAGCTTCCTCCGCCAGCCCAGCCCTGCAGCTGAGACCGGCACAGCTGGAGGAGCGGGCACAGCTGGAGGGGCTGGGCATGCGTGGCTGGGTAGAGCAGATGTGCACATCTGGATGGAGGAGGCACGTGCATCGTCTGGGCAGAGCGGGCGTGCACTACGCCTGGGTGGGCTGGTAGCGCACATCTGGATGGAATGGGCAGGCGCATCTGGATGGAGTGGGCATGCGGATCTGGGTGGGATGGGCATGCACATCTGGATGGAATGGGCAGGCGCATCTGGATGGAGTGGGCATGCGGATCTGGGTGGGATGGGCATGCACATCTGGATGGAATGGGCAGGCGCATCTGGATGGAGTGGGCATGCGGATCTGGGTGGGATGGGCATGCACATCTGGGTGGAACAGGCATGCGCATCGATGCAATGGGCATGCACATCTGGATGGAATGGGCATGCACATCTGGATGGAGCAGGCATGCGCATCTGGGCAGGTTGTACTCGCACATCTGGGCAGAGCGGGCAGGGAGAGAGCAGCAGAGGCGCTTCTCCCCCGGCAGCCTGCGTGCCGCCTTCCCCTCCCCCTGTCAACCAAGGTATCCAAACCCGCCAGTCGCTGCCCAAAATCTTAGTCATCGCCTCTCTGCCAGCAGGATATTTTCGGCTCCGGCGGCCAAGGTGGCGAGCCAGCGTTGGGGAGCCGATAGCCGGGGACTCGAGCGGGCGCTTGGCTTCCCGGTGACCTTTGCCGTGCCACAGGCAGCTCGCAGGAGGCTGTCGCCAGCCGTGACTCAGTGCAGAGCAGGTTTCTTTTTGGAGAAAGCAAAGCTTTGATCCCAAAGAGCCGGGGAACCGACCATGTTCCCCGCGTGCACTTTTGCTTGCAGTTATCTGATGCATCTTTTTTTTCAGGGTAATAACTCCCAGGGCAGGTTAGGACGGAGGAGCCCTGGCAGCAGCGCGTGTGTGGGCAGGACTGGAATAACGGGTGCCGTAGGAGAGGATTTACGAGCGCTGGCGGCATCGGTGGGAGGTGGGGGCCGGCCGGGAATAGCACAGCAGGTCAGGGGTGAGGTGGCTTGTGTGGGGCCGGGATGCAGCCGAAGCCCTCGCTGCTACCCCCTTGCCATTAACCCAGTCCCCAAGGGATGCTCGGTGGTCTTGGCAAAGCCTTCTTCCTCCAGGGAAGCATCCCAGGCCTGGGATGGAGAACCAAGCGCCGGGCGGTGGGGCTTGCTCGCCGAGCAGGAGTTTCGGTTGAAAGCAAAACGGCCACGCTGGAGCAAAGCTTTGCCGTGGGAACACTGGTGCAAATCACCGCAGTCCTCTGCTGCCGGCACCTTCCCACCCGGCATGGTTCAACCCTCCCCAAATCCTGCATGCCGAGCAGCGCCGGGGCTTTTAACGGGCTGTTGTGGCTTTCCCAGTGTGCCACAGCCCGGATCACTGCCCCGGATCACCGGATCGCTGATGGCCCCCGCGTGCAGGTGACAGCACGGTGACGGCATTGCCTGAGTGCCAGGGCACCGTGCATCAAGCCTCTAATCCCAAATAGCCAAAAAAAACCCCCAGTGTGCTCCTTCCCCTCCCTACCCTGGCTCCCTCATGCCCTTTGCAAGGAAAACGCATGAAATGTTGGAAAAAGAATCCCTGGGGAGAAGTGGGTGCAGCCGGGGGGGCAGGAGGGGTCCATCCCCCTGCCATGTCCTTCTCCCAGGGGTCTTGGTAGCACCTCACCCCTCTCTTCTTGTCCTTTCAGGGTGCAGATCTGAGGGCTGGGGACGTCAAAGGGCACGTGCTGACGGGTGAGTGCAGACCCCAACCAGGGGCCGGGGGCTCCTGAAGAATCCCTGGGGAGAAGTGGGTGCAGCCGGGGGGGCAGGAGGGGTCCATCCCCCTGCCATGTCCTTCTCCCAGGGGTCTTGGTAGCACCTCACCCCTCTCTTCTTGTCCTTTCAGGGTGCAGATCTGAGGGCTGGGGACGTCAAAGGGCACGTGCTGACGGGTGAGTGCAGACCCCAACCAGGGGCCGGGGGCTCCTGAAGCCCGGGCTGGGAGCTGCGACGAGGCGGTGGCAGAGCCGAGATGCGAGGGAGGGACACGTGGGGTTCC